TTTGAAGGCAAAGGAGACTCCGGTAAGCAAGATTTTATAACCAACATGTTGTCACTTAGATACGAATGCTAACTTCATTCCACGATTTGGTTTGAATGCGAGATCAGCAATCAAGCTTCCGGGTAAGGTGAGTTGAGGAGATCCTGTTACTTGTGTTTCTCTTCTCAGTTTAGTTTGAACTGTTTCCAACAGAATCATATATTGGCACACTTTTCTCTTCTTCATTGTTTCCTTTTCGTTTCTTCTGTCTTCCACAATTTCTACCCACGACACAAAGTTACCTGAAATGAAGTGAAAGTAGACCCGCTGAGTAAATTTTAAAATTTCCTTCTACGTGTTTTCCTAATGTAGGTTTTGCAGCTATCGACGCGCTATCTATTGCTGTCGACGCACGCAAGTTTAAATAATATGTCATTTTCGAACACCGATTTTAAATGTACTTTTGACGTCGCTGCACGTAAACATATACATAAAGAAACTGAGCGTATGAGGGGCTAAAAACAAGACCAGGGAATTTGCATGAAAGCATCACTGTATGAACTACTTAAGTTGCATGGATTGTATGATTTGCATGGACCGCATGAATCGTTTGGAAGGCATGCAATGCAAAAATACTTCATTGCACCTTGCGATGCATGAATTACTTCTTAATTTGCATGGGCAGCATGAATTGTTGGAAGGCATACAATGCATGAATACTTAATTCCACCTTGCAATGCATAAATTACTTCTTAATTTCCATGAATAGTTAGAAAGCATACAATGCATGAATACCTATTTGCACCTTGCGATGCATGAATTACTTTTTAATTTGCATGNGCTTAGACCTCATTACTTTTAACAAGCTTTTCTCTTTCACAAACAACAGACTCTACAGCATCCAGGTAAGAGGAATATCACGTGACTATCCAGTTTGTGGTTGTTAAAGGTGCATGTTATATTTTCACAAGGTTACGACATCCTTGTGTGTCACTTCAATTTTTCTTTCATTTTAGGTGAACTCAATTTTTCCTCGTCACAGCTGCCAGATAACCGCACTATCAAGGGTTTTGTAGAAGCGTACGTCGATAAGCTTATAAGTGGGTATCCTGTGGCATACCAAACCATGAATTTCTATATTAACCTTAGACCAAACTTCAGTTTCCACTATATTATGGCATCACTTTTTCTCCACCTAAGTATCCCTTTTCTTTTCGTTTTTGTAAAGATGGACTCAATCTTTCCTCATCTCAAACACAACCACAACTGCTTAATAACCGGACCATCCAGAACTTTGTAGAAGCTTATGTAGACAGATATGTAGGTGAGTGCACTGTGGCATCCCAAAACACTTTGGTTTTGGTGTTTTATCTTAGTCATGTGACAAAAGAAGGCGTTAAAGAACTTTTAATCCTTAAAGTTTATAACAGCATTTCACTCTGATTTCATTAAAGGTGGACTGAGTGGTTTAAAACAACTTCATGTTTTCTACGATTATCGGAACTTTTGACGTTGACTTCATTTCTATGTATTTTTATCAATTTAAGGTGGACTTAACTTTTCCTCGTCACAGCTACAATCACAGTCGCCTGATAACAGCACTATCCAGAACTTTGTAAAGGATTATGTTGATGAATACGTCAGTAAGTATACTTTAGAGCGCCATGTGAGCGTGTTTTGTGTTAATTCGGATTGAAGTTTTTATCAATTTATGTGATTGTGCATGCGTTCATGTTGACATTTCTCCTTTTTTATTTAAAAAGGGGAGCTCAGTCTTTCCTTGTCACAACTGCCCGACAACCGTACAATCGAGGGTTTTGTAAAGGCCCATGTAGATGAGTATGTTGGTGAGGATTGTGTTGTTCGTGTTAATGTTTGTACTTATAAAATCATTTCACGTCAATGTCTTGTCCCGGTTTTTCATTCCGCAAAGTGGACTCAATTTTTCAGAGTCACAACCACAATTCCAACCTCCTTTACCCTTATTTAGATCTCAGTTTAGTCTTAATACAATGCGAGACAAAAGTCCTTCAGGTCATTCGTTAATTTTCCGAATCTCCCTTCCCCTAAACAACGGTGAAATATTGTCAAGCAGTTGGATAAATAAAAATCAACATTACATTAGCGTTGGAAGCGAAAGTCAGATGAGGTGAAGTGTCCCAAGACTTTTGCCTTGGATTGTAGCTACACGGGTGTGTATAGCCTACCAAACGAATTATTGCTCGTGTTACACTTGGACGACTCTGTCTCTCCTAAACTTTCAAAACACGTTACTTGAATACCAATTCTATTTTTCTCCTTTACGGTGAACTCAGCGCTTCCTCGTTATAGCTTTTCCTCGTGAAGGCTTATATTGATAATTATACGGGTTGGTATGCTTTGGCATTCGGCGCGACTTTTCCGTTTGTGCTAATGTTTGATATTATAGTTATTTTTTGTAACGTCGTCTCGTCTTTTTAAGTTGGACTCAATCTTTCCTCGTCCCACCCACAACGTCAACCGCCTGATAATCTTACTATCCAGAGCTTTGTAAAGGATTATGTGGATGAATATGTCGGTAAGTATATTGTGGAACGCCAGATTTGACTGTGTTTTTCATTAACCGCCTTAACCATATAGCCGCACTTTGTAAGGTTGTAATCAAACATGCTTTACCTGATGTCACTTATAATTTATTCTAGATGGACTCAACTTTTCATCGTCACAACCACAACCGCAGCCTCCAGATAACCGCACTGTTCAAATCTTTGTGAAGGATTTTGTCGACCAGTACCTGGGTAGGTACTTGAACTTCCGATAATACGCCTCCCCCACCCCTTCCTCAAATACAAGGCCGTTGGCTTGTAGTATATTTAGATTTAGATCTTACTATTGGAAAGCTTGTTTTTTTATTTCATTTCTGCTTTACAGTATCCTAGGAGACTTGTATGGTTCATATAACGACTGTGCACTGAACGTGCTTTAAGTTTTACATCTTTATGCTTCTCGCTCTGTGCCTTNTATGTAAATGAATATGTTGGTTAGTATACAGTGCTTGTGTTCATCATATGCATTGATCAAATTCATATTTTACAAGTTTATGAAATTTCTTTAAGAGAGCACTGCTTTTATTTCAGATCGATTAAATTTTTCCTCGTCACAACCGCAACCCCAACCACTGGATAATCGCACTATCCAGAGCTTTGTTAAGGATTATGTGGACGAGTATGTGGGTAGGTAACCTGTGCCATGCACATTTCTGTGTCGTTTGGATCACTCATTGTTAAAACAACTCCATGTTTTCTACGATTATCAAAACCTTTTATGATGACTTCATTTCTATATTTTTTTTTTGAGTAAAGGTGGACTTAACGTTTCCTCGTCACAAACACAACCACTACCACCTGATAACCGCACTATCCAGGACTTTGTAAAGGATTATGTCGACCAGTATATGGGTAGGTATACTGTGGCAAGCCACATCACTGTGTTGTTTGGGTGATTCATTAAGTCTATATTCTTTGGGGATTATATATCTGTAAATGTTGAAACCACTAACTATTCTTATTTTAGGCGGACTAAATATTTCCTCGTCACAACCACAGCCTCAGCCACTGAATAACCGCACAATCCAGAGCTTTGTAAAAGATTATGTTGACGAGTACGTGGGTAGGTTTACTGTGGCAAGCNAAGGATTTCGTTGAATGTGCTAAACGAAGATTAGACCTATGTGATTATTCGCGTTAATGACAACCCTTCTTTTTGTTCAAGATGGACTCAATCTTTCCTCTTCAAAACTGAAATCAGAAACGCCTGACAACCGCACTATCCAGGACTTTATAGAGGATTATGTAGATGAATATATAGGTGCGTATACTCTGGTATGGAAGTCGAATTTGTTGCATTTGTTATCTAAGATTTTAAGGTTAAGTAATAGAGGACGTTTTCCGTAGCCTCATCTATATTATCGACAAAGGGGCTTGGGAGAATTCGAGACAGTTATGCAAATAACGCAAGAGAAGGCTTACATAACTTGCCAGAGTTCTCCCAACCTCCCTCCTCGAGTGTTAATTAAGGGAGCGTTCCTTTGGGGTGATCTGGATCAAGATCAGTGATCCAAGATCACTCGGATCATGGTGCATCAAAGGCGCCGATGAATCCGTGACCAGAGTGGATTCACCGGTTCCTTTGATGTAACATAATCCATGTGATCTTGGATCACTGATCCTGATCCAGATCACCTCAAAGGAACGCACCCTAAGATGAGGTTATCTAACCACGGAAAAAAGTCCTCTATTGCTTTTACAAAATATTTCTCAAATTGCGAGGTTTACATACTTTAACCCAAACACGCCTGTCGACCAATGAGCGCGTGTGTACTATCTTAAATATTTTATAATTATAATTATTACATCCTTCCACGTTGATACCACTCTCTTTCTATTCAGATGGACTCAATCTTTCCTCGTCACAGGCGAGTAATAAGAGCAACTTCCAGAACTTTGTTGAGGATTATGTTGATAATTATATTGGTGAGTATAACTGTTATGTGGCTTGTCACATAATTATGTTGTTTGCCAAAATCTTCGACGAGATTTTAAGAATTTTAAGAATTTAATTGGATTTAATTTTACTCCACAAAAGTGAACTAAACTTTTCTTTATCACAACTACAACCTCAGCAGCCTATTAATCGCACCATCCAAAACTTTGTAAAGGCTAGCTTGATGTAGATAAGCATGTAGGGAAGTATTGTATGCGGTTTTCATGTGAGTTCCGAAAAGTAATTGACTTTGCATCAACCACGCTACACGATTGACATACAAAACTCACCCCTCTTTTTTATACAATCGGAAGTAAAATCGTGAATCGCTCGCACATGTTTTTCCGGGCTTCGCGACAGCTACAAGTAATTTTTATATCATTTCGAGTTTTGATTGGTTCACTGTATTGTTTGTGACTTTGTGATTGGTCAGAGTGATGACTTTGGTTTTGGTTTTACGACACTCAGTTAAAAACCGCTCTTTTGCCACTTGACTTATTACACATGTTGGTATTTTGGAGCAATTTTCCTTTATCTAAAATTGTACTAGGGCACACTTTCAATTCTTTAAAAGTAATGCTTTATTGGGTCTATTGATAAAGCGCTATTTCCATGGTTGTCTAATAGCGCTTTGCAGTTCTCACTTCTCTCTTTTTCCTTTCAAGGTGGACTCAATGTGACCTTATCACTAGCACAACTGCAGCTGCCTGGTAACCATACTATCCAGAGCTTTGTAAGAGATTTTGTAGACAACTATGTGGGTGGGTAAACTTTCACAAGTCACGTGAGTGTACTGCTATCTAAATACTGAATATCTAAGTATACTCCAAGAAATACCCTCTCACGTGGATGTTCTGTTCTCTTACTTTCAAGGTGCACTCAATATTTCCTCATCACAGCCGAAAGCACGACCGCCTGATAACCGCACTATTCAGAACTTTGTAAAGGTTTACGTAGACAAGTACGTGGGTGAGTAATATACATTTCCAAGTCACGTATGGTACTGTTTTGTTATGACTTGAATTTGTAAGTATGTTCTCTTATATATTTTGTTCTCTTTCTTCAATCAAGTTGCACTCAATATTTCCTCATCACAGAGGACTGATATCCAAACTATCCAGAACTTTGTAAAGGATTTTGTGAATGAGTATGTGGGTACGTACAACTTTGTCATGCCATTTTTTTTGTTGTTACTTTTTTGCACGCTGGATGGACTCTTCACAACTGCAGTCATACTGAACTGATCAATACTGGTAACCGTCGCACCTAGAACTTTCTCAAGAATTACTTGTGCTAATAAATCACTTAGCAAACTGCGGCATGGCACTGACAGTGTTGTTTGTGTTAAATTTTAACAAGTTCCATAGTTCCAACACTATAACATCGCTTCACCCACGTTTTTCTTTCCTTTTTTCCTTGAAGATGGTCTAAATATCAGCTCACCACAATCACCAACCACTGAAAACCGCACTATTCAGAGCTATGTTAAGGCTTATGTCAAGAAGTTTGTAGGTGGGTATGCTGTGGTATCCAACTTGACCATTATTTGGGTTATTAATTAAATCTTTGAACTAGTTTTTATCTGCTGAGGTTATAATATCCTCCCTGCTGAATGTCTTTTTATTTTCTTTTTTTAAGTTGGACTCAATTTAACCTCATCAGAGATGCGACAGCAACTTCTAGATAACCGCACTATCCGGAACATTGTAATGGATTATGTCGACGAGTATGCGGGTAGGTATCCTGTGGCATGCAACATGTCTGCATCGCTTGCAGTACTCAATGTTAAAAGAACTCCATTTATCGAAATCGTTTGACGCTGACTTCTTTTCTATGTATTTTTATTGATTTAAGGTGGACTTAACTTTTCCTCGTCACAGTCACAACCTCGACCGCTTGATAACCGCATTATCCAGAACTTAGTAAAGGAATATGTGGATGAGTATGTGGGTGTGTGCAACTTTGTTTTTGTTGCTTTCTGACACGTTAGATGAATTCTGCTCGACTGCAATCACACTGAACTAATCAATACTGGTAACCTTAGTAAATAGAACTTTTCTAAGGTTTACTTGTGCCAATAAATCGCGTAACAAACTGTTGCATAGGACTGACGGTGTTATTTGTGTTAAATTTTTAACAAGTTTATCGCTCCAAAATTCTAACGTCGCTTCACCCACATTTTTCTTTCCTTTTTCCTTTAAAGATGGTCTTAATATCAGCTCGCCACAGTCGCAATCACCAACTATTGAAAACCGTACTATCCAGAGCTATGTTAAGGATTATGTAGAGACGTTTGTAGGTGGGTATGCTGTGGTATCCAAGCTGACCATTATTTGTGTTATCAATTAAATCCTTGCACAAGTTTTTATCTGCTAAGTTTATAATATTCTCCCTGCTGAATGTCTCTTTCCTCTCTGTCTTTCAAGATGGACTCAATTTAACCTCATCAGAAATGCGACCACAGCTTCTAGATAACCGCACCATCCAGGACATTGTGATGGGTTATGTCGATGATTATGTGGGTAGGTATCCTGTGGCATGCAACATTTATGTTTCGTGTGCATCCCTCGATGTTTTTTTCTACGATTATCGAAAACTTTTACGTTGACTTCATTTCTCTGTGTTTTCTTTGATTTAAGGTGGACTTAACTTTTCCTCGTCACAAACACAACCACAGCCACTGGATAACCGCACTGTTCAAAACTTTGTAAAGGATTACGTAGACGAGTATGTGGGTAGGTATCCTGTGTTATACCACATGACCGTATCTTTGATTTAATTATTTTAGGCTAAATCTACATCTCACCTTTCTAACCCATCTCATTATTTCAAAATTTTTTGATGCCTTGTTTTCAGCTGGGCTCGACCTTTCTTCGCCAAAACCACAACCACGCTCGCCTGATTGAAGTATATATTTTTGATATTATATACTGATAAATGCTGATAAATGCTGATACCACTCAATATTTTTCTTTCAGGCGGACTGAATATTTCCTCGCCACAAATGCAACCACACGTACTGCCAGATAACCGCACTATTCAGAACTTTGTAAAAGATTATGTGGATGAATACGTCGGTAAGCATACTGTAAAAGGTCGTATGAATGCAAGGTTACATTTTTTCTAAGGTTACGACACCTTTTCACTTGGACATGCTTTCTTTCCCTATTCAAGGTGAACTCAATCTTTCTTCCTTACAATCACCACAACCGCCAAACAACAGAACCCTCCAGAGTTTTGTAGAAGCTTATCTAGGTAAGTACACTAGACGTGGTCTAATTGCTTTGATAGTCTTCAAATACTTATATATTATTTTATTCCTCCCAGTCAACTACTCTTTCTTTTTTTTAAGATGCGCACAATGTTTCTTCGTCACTACCGCAACTACAACCGTCTAATAATCGCACGATCCAGAAGTTTGTGGAAGCTTATGTTGATAGGTATATAGGTGGGTATCCTGTGGTAAGCCACTTGTCTGAATTGCTTATTGTTGAACAAATTAAAACATTTCTTAAATTGTAGCATCCCTTTTGATCGTCTAGTTGTTTCTGAATTTTTTTGTTTAAGATGGACTCAATCTTTCCTCATCAAAGCCACGACTACTATCGCCGAATAACCGTACTATCCAGGAAGTTGCCGAGGCATATGTAGACCAGTACCTAGGTGGGCATACTGCGGCATGTAGCCCGACATTATTTTTCTGCTTTAATCTTTAAATGAGTTTATTATTTACGACATTCCTTCTCCTGGATTTTGTATTTCTTTTTTCTGTTTAAGATTACCTCAATCTTACCTCCCCGCAAGCGCAACTAGGACCTGATAATCGCACAATCCAGAGTTTTGTTAGGGATTATGTGGACGAGTATATAGGTTTGTATAACCTGACTGTATTATTTGTTTTAATCTTTAAAGAAACTGTTCACTTCGGTCGATTATATTTAACTCATTGTAACATGGATTCCCCTTTGCTGCTTTTCTATTTAAGACGGTCTCAACCTTTCTTCGTCGCAACCACAACCACCTAATAACCGCACAATCCAGACCTTTGTAAAGGATTATGTGGATGAATACGTCAGTGAGTATACCGCAGAACGCCATGGCTATTTTGTTTGTGTTAATCATTGGAAAGGTTGGCATTTCCTTATAGCTTTTCACTTGAACTGATTGTCCTTTGTTTTTTTCTATTCAAGGTGAACTCAACTTCTCCTCATCACAACCTCAACTACGGCCACAAGTGCCTGATAACCGCACTATCCAGAACTTTGTCAAAGCTTTCGTCGATGAACATATAAGTGAGTGGCACAGTAATAATAATAATAATAATAATAATAATAATAATAATGATAATAATAATAACAATAACAATAATAATAGTAATAGTAATA